TTCGACGGTAAAAATTCGATATCTTTTGATTTAAGTATTGTATCGACAAAAATCAAGATGCGTTTTAAAGGTATAGAGTGCAACTTTCGTATACAGTTTTTGTATTTTGCCGCCAATAGACTCAGTTTTTATAAAGGTGGTAAATAAATAAACGGTGCGCGATTTTTGCCGTTGTTTACGATTTTCGTGAGATCAATAAAATTGACCACTTTTTGGAGATCAGTCTTTAAAACATATGACAAGAAATTTAAATTTTGAGTTGTGGCAACAAAGATGAGGCATTTGAAATATGAATAAAAAATGCAGAATTTAATGCTTTACATTTCAAACGATTGCACGTCACGGGAAATGCCTCCAAGAAGGTGGTTTTGGGTGTAATTTATAGCAACAGTTTTGTTCTTTTGAAAAACGGACTAGTTTAATTAAAAAAAATGTTTTAAACGTTTTAGATTGTTGGTTATGTGAAATTTTATATCCAACATTTTTTAAGCATATTTCAAATGCCTCACATTTGTTGCCAAAACTGAAAACTAAAATTTTCGTGTTATAGGTTTTGAAGGTTAGGCTGTAGTAATCGAAACGTTGTAGTAGCCAGTCAATAAAAGGGATATATTGTATTAATCCCAGAAGAATTATAAAAAATGGCAAAAATCGCTCCACGATTTTATTTAACACCTTTATAAAAACTGAGTTTATTCGCAGTAAAATACAAAAGCTGTACTCTTTACCTTTAAAACCCATATTGAATTTTGTCGATAGTTGAATCAAAAGATATCGAATTTTTACCGTCGAGCTGATACAAATTTTATTGAACATTTTCGCACGTGTCTGACATTCAAAATCGACAGTCGCTTCAAGCGTTGTTTCATTCTACACAAAAATTGCAAAAAAATTTATTATCTTTGTTTAAAATTATCTCAGCTATATTTTTATTTTAAACATTTTTTTCCACGGCGTACAGATTCTTGGTAAATCGATATTTTTTTGCATTTTTGCCCCCCGACGAGGGGATTTTAGGGGAAAGCCCGGGGGTAAAAGTGGTTAACTTTTTTGCATCTTTTTTGGGATCCCAAAATTAATATTCTCGGCAAAATTCATCTTGTTCGTATGATTTTTAGAGGTTGAGTGGCATATTCGTCTCTGACGACGGGAGTATTTATGAATTATTTTATATTTTGTTACCGGGATCCCTACGTGGTTGATGTCTGAGGTTGAAATTATGTCAGAACTTTTTTGATGAAATTGTTTAGTGCTTTTGATTAGAACAGATGACGTAAATATCATTTTTACGTAATATTACTACTCTCGTTTAAACACGATAATTTCAACCATTTTAGAGAACAACGCAATTCTATAGTTCAAATTCTCAGAATAGGGATTTCAAATAACAAACAATAAACAAACAAACGTAAATAGTCTACTGCCTCCACTACACATCGGCAGACGCGTCTGCGAACGCATCTGCAGATGTATCGTAAGCGTCTATATTCTTAGGTATCATCACAAGCTGACCACACATCTGTAAATCTTTCTGTATTAATTCCCGGAAGACGCAATATCTACACGACCATTAAAAAAATGGATGTTGACGTTGAGACCATAGCTGCCACAGCTATATGCCTATTTAGAACGTTTAACTACTACTTGAGTGTACATCGGAGTAGAATCATTAAAAAAATTGAAAAGGAGAAGTCAGAGGTCAGATGTGTGGAAAGGCGTCGGACGTCCGCACCGAAACCCTTTGATCTGTGCTAACAAAACCGACAACAATCGGATATCTCGCAGACGCATTCGCGGACATGATATATAAAAAACAGATGATCAAATTACCCCATCTACACATCTCTAGATGCATACGTAGATATCGTCCGCGGACGCGTCTGCCGATGTGTAGAGGAGCCATACAAGCCCATGGATGATTTTTTATGATGGCCATACAAGCCCATGGTGATTGAAGGTGCTTACATCACCAAATGCACTTTTAGATCATAGATGGACCCATTTTTTTTTCAATCGAAACGAAACTAAACAATTGCTCGAAAATGTTCCATGTTTTTTTATTAAAAATGTTCTGAAACTGTTTTCTTGTGGCAAGTTAAATATTATGTTTATATAGGATTAACCCAAAAACTGATTGTAACGGAAGTTACATTTTATAATTGTTATTGGATGTTTCGATTTCCACTCGAAATCGAAAAAATATTTTAAAATAGTGAGTTGTTATTATAACCAATAGCTGTTTGGCGGTTATTATTTTCGAAAAACGATCTTGTAGGCAAATAGTTGCTATGCTTTTAGTTGTAAATTCTGAGGGTGGTGTTTGTAACCTAAGGATGCTATCAAATTCTGATAGTTTTGTATATCTATGTATCTTGTCATTACGTATTGTGTATTGTATATGTATTCTATATAATTGTAGACGCAGTGTATCTGACTTTTAATTCGCTAATGTTGATATATTCCTGTTGGCGACTTCGTTTTTCAGTATTGGCAATCAGAGCCTGCTACATTCTGCTGATGGGTTTGCTACACATTTTTTTTTTTTTCATTAAGTAGGACGAGAGCTGTTTCTTGATTTTTCTGTTTTTCATTTCTGTTTCTTTCATGATTATTCATGCATCTTTACATTGTACTCTGTGCCAGGCATGTTTGCATATCTGTGATTTATCGAAGTTCTGTTTTTGATGTATGTTTCATTCTCTTGTATCCTGACACTTGGCAGTCTTACGGTTTCTCCCACATAAAAGTTGTTTCAATCAACGAGGTATTTTATCCATGCAGTTATTTGACCTCTCTATGTTATTAAGTTTGCTTTTGGACAGAATACATCTCGGTGTATTGGTTGTTTTGAATGTTGTTGTGTTGTACTTATTTCCTATCCTTTTTAATTTATCTGATAAGCCATTTACATTATGGTATTGTTGTCATCTTAAAATACCTTCCTATGAGCTTTTCTGGATTGCTTATGGTGTTCTGTTGTTTCCTTTATTCAATCTTGTGAATTTCTTTGTTAAGATAAATGTTAAATGACAATGGATAATCATTTTTTGTTAAAACCATTTTAGCAGGTTTCTTCCTAAAATGCATTTGCATTAGACCATGTATTTTGTTCTCTTATCATATAGTCTACTATTTTAAATAATCTGTTTTTGAAAACGATTTCCGGAGTGGAAATCGAAACGTCCAGTAACAATTATGTAATTTTCATTACAATAAATTGTGGCTTAATATCATATAAACATATTTAATTTTCGATTATTGCTTACTGTAAAATGATACTATAATGGAACAGCTCAATATTATATTTTGTAATTTTTCTTGACAGCCCAAATGGCTAACTTCACAAATGTCAGTTATTTGATAACTACAATGTTTTAAATAATTATTTTAATGCGCTGTAAATACTAATTCTGTAATTGTTTAATTACAGAAGTTGATTATCCAACTCTACGTATTTAAGCTTTAAATATTGCTAATTTAGTTTGCCTTATAAGGAGCAAAGATTTGCTGAAAAATTGTGACGTCATACGTTTTTGATAGAATAAGGGAGAAAATATAACGCGGCTACCGATATTCATCATGATTAACGCGAGATTAATGCGGCTAATTAATACATATAACAAAAGTATTGGAGCATGTTAATTTAAGTGCTTAATTTTTATATTTCTTTTTTAGATGCCTTCCGTTGTGGTAAGCGAAGTACCATACGGAGCAAGTAGTAGCAGTAAAGATGATTCAAAGCCGCCATATTCTTATGCGCAGCTTATAGTACAAGCAATAGCAAGTGCACCCGATAAGCAGCTTACCTTATCTGGAATATATAGTTACATAACAAAGCACTATCCTTACTATCGTACGGCCGACAAGGGTTGGCAAAACTCAATTAGACATAACCTTAGTCTTAACAGATACTTTATTAAGGTGAGTTCAAATTAATATAATTGTTTATATTCGTATTTTTTTCATTTTGATACTATATTAGGTATAGAAAATTGGATTTCCTGCATGTATGTTGTAGGTGCTTGCTATACTCCTAATATGTAAAACCTTCTTTGTATACCGTCTCCATTTGAGGTAACAGTAGGGATGTACTCTGTCAATTTTTGCTGGCTCTGAGCAATGCTATGCTCGTATGGGTATTTTACCTACTGTTATAAATTTTGTCATATCATATTTCTTATGCTTCGCTTTTCCCGCCATTGTTCTGTGCTGGTTCATTGGAGGACTAACATCTCTATGGAAGGTTGTCACTTGTCACTTCCATATTTTCTGCGATCAGCCGATAATATTTATAATTTTTTATAAAAATCTTGATAAAAGAAAACTGGAAAACATAAAATCCCATTTTTCAAATGTCAGTATACCGACCACATATTCTCTGAGAATATTATTGAGGTACTAGTAAAAAATAGTCGAATAATAATTATATTCCACAGACATAAGGTAAAAAAGTAAACTTTTGGGGACTTTGATCCGGCCAGGTATTTGGAAATTTTTTTGACTCTTATGGACCTCAATAACCAAAACCTCTGTTTATTGCAGTGGGTTCTATGGTTTGGAAATTTTTAAACGACTCTGGTCAAAGGCAATATTTTTAAATTTTTCACTATACAACTTCATTTCTTGATCTTTTAAATTCCGCTAATTAGGTTTCTTAATTTGTAACCTTTGAACGATCCATCATAAACATTGTGTGTCAATGAATACCAATAGAACTACCTCCTCCAATTGTTAGGCCTCGTTTCGCTCAATCTCTGAGGTGTGAAAAGTATCTTATCTAAGTAAGAAGTAAAGATGAAAAATGAGTTTGACTGGGACAAATAAACCAAAATATTAACTAATCATATTTATTATACAGGAATAAATATAAAACTTCAAAATTTAATAAAATTAAACAAATCAAATCTTGCCTAAGCTTTACAAATATAAAATGATACTTATGGCATCACTTGATAACTTGTTGGCTTCAAATGATTGCAAAATGAAGTGGTTATTTGATTTGCTGATGTTGGCTTCATAGGATAGCAGAATGTAGATGCCGGGATCGAGCCAGTTTTATTTCTGATCAGCTATTAGGTTCTGCATATCTGCTGCAGTTGTCATCCCATGTGTGTGGTGCACCATAAGGCTTTTATACAGTTCCACTCAACAAGGGAGAACAGGAGAAATTGAATTTCAAAAAAAAAACTAAAAGAATTAACCATGTGTTAGCCACTGCATATGTTTTAAAATATTTTCTTGCCATATGAAAATTTAAAATAATTACAATATTAAATAGAAAATAGCAAATTGGCAAAAATAAAATGGATATAATTATTATTAGATTAATTAGTTAAATTATAATAAAAATATACTAACTACATATTGGACAAATTATTATAAAGTTAAAAGAAACATGTGCGGAAGAGGAGGTTATGTATGCATTTATAAAAAAAGAAATCAAATTATATAATATTGGTTAAATATTAAACATAACTTACCACAAGAAAAGATTTAATATGTAAAATGAATTTTCAACTGAGGCATGCCTTTTATAGATAAACGATATTGATAAAAAATGTAAGATTAATAATTGTGGCAGGGCAATGACAGAGAAGTGACATGCCAGAGCACAGTTGCCAACTAACAGATATACTGTCTAATGAAGTGAGGCATAGAAATCTGTGACATTGAACAGTTTGAAGGCAAATACAGGAAATATAACTGAAATAAATGAAAATTGAAAATGAAAAATAAATATTAAATACGATATTTAGTTGTTTGAAGAATAAAAATAAAAAAAATACTAAAAACGGGTGTGGCAGTCCAGTGGGACTGCTGGTAGAAGTTAAACTTGTCAACTGAAATCATGTAAAATATGTGGACAAAAAATTATCCAAAAATGCATAAGACAAATACGGTAAAGATATTAAAAAATAATAAACTTCAGGTTTTCTTAGTAAAATTTGGTATTTTAGAACAAACAAAAAAGATAACACTACATTAATATCCGTACAATAGGCACGCTCTGGCAAATTCAACTGTTACAGCATACAATGCTTCCAGTTAAAATAAAAACTAGTGCATATCCATCTATACAAACCCTTATGGAATTAACTTCAGATATAGCATTTCTGAAATGATTTTTTTAATAATTTTAGGTACCAAGAAGTCAAGAAGAACCAGGTAAAGGTTCGTTTTGGAGAATTGATCCTCAGTCTGAATCGAAATTAATTGAACAGGCATTTAGAAGAAGGAGACAGCGAGGCGTCTCGTGTTTCCGAGCACCATTTGGTTTAAGTTCCAGGTAATTATAGTTTATTATAGTTATTATAAAACTTTTTTACATGTTTATCACCAGCCAAAAAGGCCATAATTTTTTTTACGTCTTACCAAGTTTCTGCCAATTATTGCTATAATTTTTCCAACAAAATTTAACGACGCTTTTAAAGCTCATGAAACAAATTGCTCTCAATCAGTTGTCATATATTTTCAAATTCCTGAAATGCTTCTGTTGCTCTAGAAATATATGAAAATATTTTAATATAAATGTATTCGTATTAAATGTTGTTTACCGTTCCTAAAAAATAGTAGTAATATATAAATAAAGAGTTAAGTAAAATCGACTATATGTCTATAACTGTACTTAATAAAATTTTGTGGAACCGGCAACACATTGTCTGGTCTTAAAGTTTTAAATTGAAGTCGTCACATATCGTTCGATATATCTAGTTGCTGGTAACAACAAAGAAACCTGTAAGTTGCATCTTTTTTGTCTTAGGACCTAATAGTGCCATATAACTAGTAATTGTTCTAAGGTCTGACATCGACTACTGGCTTAAAAATTTAATACCTCGTAATTTTTTTAAGAATAAATCGTTTTTTTTTTGTCGGTCAGATAGCTCAGCGGGCTGTGCGGCTGCCTCTCATTCGCTTCACTGTCGAATGGTTTAGTGGATGTGGGATCGAGCCCCAGCTCGGTGTACAGAAAACAAAAGTCTAACGCAGCAGTTTAAAATTCTAGATGAATCTGCGGCTTAGACTAGGATATGCTGGGATCTGATCGGCCTATGGTGGAGCAGTACGGCAAGAGATAAGGGCTTGCGGCTTGGTGATACTCCTCCATAGATCCCTACCGGACAGGCGTAAACGCCTAAAAAAAACGGATATATATATATATATATATATATATAATATATATATATATAATAAATCGTTTTTTTTTTGTGAATTTCTTTCACAATGAAATCACCCTAAAATAATTTGTATCTAACTCTACATTAACTATATTTTCGAGGTATTTGTCATTTCATTGATAATTCATATTATTGATCTACAGGAAATAATCTTTCTTTGATTATTTTAAATATTCAATAGTTTTAATACTCATATAGTTCAATAGTTTATTTTATGATAACATTGAACGCCTTAACGATGGCATGAAATATGATTATTCATTATCAACATCAATGGCGGTACAACTCTGCGTGAGTCTTTGCCGTGTTTACTTTTGCCGCTTTTACTATTGCCGAGTTTACTATTGCCTTCCCTTTTGTCGGTTGTGTGCTACTATCTCCCATTGTCTCATTCCCATTTTATGCAGAGTCTCTATGACTGCATCTTGCCTGTTTCTAGGTGGTCGTACAGATCTTCTCCCATCTGGTCTTTCCCAAAACACATTGTTTATAATATGGAAACTAATTATTAGGAACAAACATTGTTTCTTTGATTAAAACTTAATGACATATATTACTTAATGAAAAAACTATCATATTTATTTATAACGCAAAATCAGAAATATTATGTTATACTATTATATATATTAGTATATAATATAACTAGTATATATATAGTATTATATATATGTATATATTTTAACTGCTATCAAGGCTATCTGTCACAAGCCTTTGAAACATATTCGGTGTCACGGCAGGGAGACAATTTGATATATCTTCTCTTCAATATAACGTTAGAAAGGACTATAAGATATGCCAAGTTACACAATAGGGTAATAATATTTAATAAGTAATGTCAGATTACGGCTTATACTGTCGATTTGGATTTGATCACATGCACTACACGAGAACTTCAAGAGATGGTTTCCAACCTCAATGATCGCATAAAATATGGGGCTTAAAATGGACGCGGAAAAAACCAAAGTTATGGCGTCGATCCCGAATAACAGAGATGTAGCTAGACATGCCGAACCCGAACAAAACTTAAACATAGACCACTATAATTTTGATTTAGTAAATAAGTTTTACTACCTGGTTTCCATCATAACAAGTGATACTGACAGATCTAAAGAAGTAAAACGAAGGATTATGCTATCGAACAAATGTTATTTTGGGCTAAACAAGCAGCTAAAAAAATTAATATGTAAGCCAAAAAATCAGACTAACAATAAATAGAACGTGCATGCTACCAGTGCTGATAAATGGATAAGACAAATGGACCATCTCCAATACAGACGCAAATTGTTTACTCGTCTTCGCAAGGAAGATACTAAAACTATTTCCGTGTATTGCCATACGCCTGTGGCGATAGTAAGCGTTTCTTTTATCATTGCATGCATTTTAAATTACTTGAACCTTCTGCAAAGTAAAGAAATTTCTGTTTATTTTCAAATATTTAAATGAAGTACCCTGTATCTCAACAGAACACAAGTTTAATCTAAGAGATTTGTGGTAAATTAGTATATTTTGAAATTAAGATTTTAACTAGTACAGTTAAAATATTTATACACATTTATAAAATTATGCTAATAATATTTTTAACATTTTAGAAGTGCCCCTGCTTCTCCTTCACACGTTAGTATGTCGGACATAATGACGCCAGAGTGTTTATCGAGGGAAGGTTCCCCTACGATGGAGCACCTTGTTGATATCAGTCAGTCGGCACCAGGAAGTCCCGGTAATCCGGTCACCGCATATGCTGGCTCTGGAGGTATGATAGGTCATCAACAAATGTCGGCATTGGTAGGTGCCACTAAGGCTAGATTATTGTTGCCTCATCCTGTTGACAATATTACAGAAGTTACTACTTCCAATGGGCAAGAATATAGAGAAGGTATATTTTGATTCGCACTTACATTTTAATTAGTAAATGGATAAAATTATATAAATTTGATTTATAAATAATACTTCCAAAATATTTCAACACAAAAAATCATTTTAAAGAATGGGATAATGAAGACTTTTTCTCGTATTCGATTGTCAAAGGACCAAGTCAAACTATGTTTAATTGAAAACATTTTAACATATCCCAGTCAAATTTTTATTCAGCATGTTCTTTTCTATCTACCATTTGAAACTTAGACGGAGTTCATAAGACTACGGCTATTAAAACTGTACGTGTAAATCGGTCAATTTTAATATTAGGACACGCTGTATATCCACACAAGATGAGCAAAATAAGACAGCAAGAAAAAAGTTATACTATATTGCCCTATTTCCTCGTTGCATTGGAAATATTGATTTTAGTTATTTGTAAATACAATCATCGGGTGGAAAAAATGCTGAAATTTTTCGTAACCGAAAACAGTTTTTTTTATTAAATATGCCATATATGTAAAATAAAGAACAAGGTGTGTTAGTTAATAACCTGACTACATTAGAACAGGAATTTTTCTAGTTTATTGATACTAAAGTTTGATACAGTTCTCCACAGTTTGATACTATAAGCCCTGATGGATCTCAGGATAGTTTTTGCATATTAGTATTATATTCGTCAGTTGACAAGTAAAACTCACTAAGTACAAATAAGCGAAATTGACATTTTTTTACCAGTGCTATAATGGTTTAAGATCTTTGCCTGGAAAAAGTCATTAGCTAAAAACATCGTTAAAACATAGACATTCAATTTGAAACATTTCATTATTTGCAAATTTTAATAAAATCCCGTCAGGTAAAAGTCATAATTGCATGCTCTTTTCTGGATTATGTTAGTTCAGTTAGTTTACTTAAACAGTATTTATTGTTGTTTGCCGTTCTTAAGTTGTAATAATTACTTTAATAAGTGAAAATTTCTTTAAAACTTTAGGATAAAGGAAGATTTGCATTCCTTCCTTTATTGAGTGTACCTTCTATTATAGCATGAGTTTTTAGACAATATTTCGGCAGGTAAAATTTACTAATTAGATTTTTCTCAAAAACTTCAAAAATACAATTTTTATTAATAAAAACTTTATAAGATGAGGTAGCTTAAACTTTTTTCTTAAAATAATTACATTGTGTTATGACATTAGAGTTTACATTTCCCTTCCTGTATTGAGTGTACCTTCTATTATAACATGAATTTTTAGATAATATCTTAGCAGGTAAAATTCACTAATTGAAGTGATATAATCAAATAACTTAAGATTATCAGCAAATAGCAGGAAATGTGAGTTTTTGATAGCTTTACCAATATCGTTAATGAACAAGTTAAAAAACAAGGGACCACAATGAGACCCTTGTGGCACACCAGAATAACAATGGAATTCTTTTGAAATATAATTGTTAATACGAACTTGCTGTGTACGTCCCATCAGAAAAGTTTTAATCCAATTAATAATGGGTTCACCAAAAGCCACATGCATGAAGTTTGTGGACCAAAAGATTATGATTAACCTGGTCAAAGGCCTTTAAGATGTAAATGTGTAAATGCTGTCGACCTGAATTTTATTCTCAAATGCACCCAACAAGTATTGTTGGTAATTGACAAGGTTTGTTTCTGTTGACTTCCCGTTAGAAAATCCATACCAATTTATCAAGAAGTTTCGGGATTGCTGATTGAGTAGTTATACCTCTATACTTGTTAACACACTCGAGATTGCCAGATTTATAGATGTGTGTAAGAAAACTATTTTTCCAATATTGTGGAAATACAGATGATGACAATGATAAATTGAAAATTTGTTGTAAAGGTTTATAAAGGGAAAAAATACAGTTCTTAATAAGTGCTGCAGGTATACCATCAGAGTCTGAAGAATATGTAGTTTTTAAACTCCTAATCCCCTTAAAAACATCAGTCAGACTAAACTTCAGACTGGAAATCCACACTATAGTCCAATTTAAAATTAGGTACATTATACTCACTATCATTATATGTACCTGAAAAATACCTGGCAAAGACTATTTCATCACCATTCTGAGCTATTACATCCCCACCTTTATTAGACATTACATTAGGATAAGCACTAGACCCACGTGTAGTACTAACATACCTCCAAAAAGAGTGGGGATTACTGGAAAGATTTGCTTGAATATTCTCTAAATAGTTCTTATAACATACTACTTGTAATGATTTACATCTTTCCCTTAACACCGAAAATTCCTCGTATGAGTTGCCTGCTGCTTTAAAATTCCTGTGAGCTATTTTTTTTCTTTATGACAAGCTCAATTAATTCTCGCGAAAGCCAAACTGCAAAGTTTAATGATTTAAACCGTTTGATAGGAACAAACATATTGATGGCATTATATAAAATATGGTAAAAATTTTCTAAGCAGAACTTTATATCTGATTCATCTAATACCTTGTTCCAAGGAATTGAGGCTAAATATTCATTTAAAACTCTTGATAATTACATTTTTTAAAATCATGATAGACGTCATATTTAAGAAACAAATTTAAATTAGCTGCATTTAACAATATGCACTTCATCTAATTTACATACCGATGCACGTCATCGGCGTCATAGCCCGTGACGTCATATGATACCAACACGAAATATTTAGGCGATAGGTGTGTTCTTTTTTAGAATCACTGTGCCGAGTACACTGGCATTACAGCCACTAGACATGTTTTATTATATACGCGTAGAAATAATATTTAAAAATTTATATTAATGTTAACATAAAGAAATACACAATAATATGTTTCATTTAATTTGTATAAATGCATTATAAAGCGTTTTTATGAAGAACATTTGTTTCGGAAACACTGTAACTGTAATCGAACGAAGGTGAAATTTTGGCATAAATTGGTAACACTTATTTGACAGTTGCGGTGTTGACACTTTTTGTACTTTATTATTTTGAATTTTAAAGTGAATATCTCTTGTTTTATATTTTTACCTATTTAATAAAATCTGTTCTTTTTAGAACCAAATTAGTGTGTTTTATTTCAAAAATGACACGTAAGAATTTAAATAGTCGTTGTAAAGAGATGGTAATACTTTTGCAATAATTATGTGATCTATTTGATTTAAAATGGAGTCAGGATTTTTTTATAGTTTGGCAACTATGTCAACTTCGATCTCTGACGTAGATAATGACGTGCATCGTTATGTAAATTAGATGAAGTATAGTATAAGCCGAGTGATGTTGCGAAGTATTCAATATTGCTAGTCCGATATTTTCGGCAAAATAATGAATACATGTTATGTAGTTGGGGATACAATTGTTTCCCTTTTGTGAAAATGTGTTTTCACCAGGTTAATTTACTATCAAGATATTTTATGTCTTCTTGCTGTGGAAGGTATTGTCTGTTTAAAGATATACGTGAACTGGTCATCATGGAAATCAATTTTCATTCCTTTTATTGCGACATCGTTCAGTACTTCTGAATCTAAGATAGTGTTTTATTAAATCGTCTAAAAGTTCGACTTACATAGGAATCGTTTGTTTATAACACAGTGGCAACATAATTTGTGTGCAACCGACCAGAAAACTTTAGTTTAATAGTTAATTATATGTAATAACGTATATATAAGATGATTACATATATTTTGTGTTATATAGTTCTATGATTTTTTTTAGAAAAATTCAATATTGAAGAAAGGTCAATGTCTCCAGGAGGATTTTCATCACAACCTGTTATAGTTCAAGCTGCAAACTATGCTTATAGGTATGTCACATTTGAATTATAGAGTGTGTTAAGTCGTTAAGCTGTTCAATATAGCTTTACTCACTGTCTCTAATAATACTCTAATAACAATATAAAACTAATAAAAATATTCAACTTCTCTTGGATATGTACTATTTCTGTTTTCCATGTATTTGATAAACGCTTCACTATTTATATGATTCTCTAAAAAGTTATTTATTTTAATATATTACTCTAACATGTTAAGTCATACTTAGTAGTAGTTGCATTGTTTATTAACTTGTTTTTGTTTTGTTGTTTTTGTTTTTAAACGAGGTCTGCCCTTTTCTGGAGTATATAAAGCAGGATTTTTTTTCTTTTCTTTTTCGTGTATGGTAAATTGTTTTCTCACCAATTTAAGTGCAGCTGATACTCTCTAAAACAAAGTTAAACTATTATAAATATTTTGTTATGTAATAAAGTTTTTCTAATTCAAAGTGCATGTACTCGATTAAATGTAAAATGAGTTCTTGTGCTTGTATCTTTTATCAGCGGCGGATATGAAGGACCTTGATCGCCAAGTATTAAGCATATCTTCGTAATTTTCTCTTAATTCCTTCAAATAAAGGTACTTGATAATTTGCTTTTTGGCATCAAACTGACACTTTTAATAAGTTATTCTTCATTGCTATGGTAACACAATATTTTTATCCACGAATCTCGTCTAGGCTAACCAGATATCAATATATCCTCCTATTCCAACGCGCAGATATATCATTTACTATTAGTAAGTATTATTATTAGTTTGACATTGAATCGATAAAATAAACAAATTTGAATCCGTTCCGAACAGGCAGCTACTACTAAAAAAGAAATAACATTTTTCTTTAATATGGTTAATAATCAGCTAAATTTCTTTAAAGATCAATTTCATTCAAGTACATATGTATATTTTAAATTTGTCTGTTTTTTAGTTACATTAACAAGATTACTTGTAGTATTTTATTTCGACGTATCGTATGTACCTATATATGCGGCGTATGGTATGTATATGAGTTCATTGTACCAAGCATTATTTTTAAATTCTATGCAGGCAAAATAAATTTTGTGTCATGTCTTTTAGACATAGTTGCAGCTGTAAATTTGGTAATATTTTTGAAGCGTAGATTGGAGAAGAGAACTATGTGTGATTATCAAGAGAAAGTAATACATTATATACTCAGTGGCATTAGAAGTGTTACACCCGCCAAGTATGTGTGTTACACCTTCCAATGTGAAGGAATAACTTCTTGAACTTAATTTTTTGACCAAAGAATGACTATATTTAAAAAACATGCTATGATAACAATACCAATGTTTTATCTTTTCTACTTTTTGTAAAAATAAAGTTTTTTGAAGAGACAGATTTATGAAACCGGTTCGTATAGAAATTTTTAATATTGTTCTGAAGCTATTTTCTGGTGGCATTGTAAATTAATTACTATTAAACTGGGACTAAGCCACAATTAAAGATAAAAATACGTTTATTGACGTTTCAATTTCCACTTCGGAAATCGGTCTCAAAATGTGGCTTATTCCCAGTTTAATAGAAATTTTTAGTTATTATCCTTCAGTCTAATTGTGTTCAGTGCACGAAATTGGCACGAGTTCAAAGACTCCAAAATTACCACCATGTTAGAGATATTGGTTTGTGGTATTGCGAAATTGGCCGTCGTATTTATTGTATGGCAATGACGGTTATGCGTATCTGTCGTGTGTGGATAAACGAAGGTAGAGGAACCCGAAGAAGACCAACTGGTCAACCGAGGTGTACCACAGAGCGTCAAGATAGGCGCTTTAGATTACTGGCTCTGCGAGACCGTTTTGCTACTACGCGTCAAATTACTAACTAATGGTTTAGAGTAGTAGGTAGACCTGTTAGTATGCGTACTCCATACCGTTGCATTCGAGCCTTTGGACTGGTTTCAGTCCGTCTATGACTAGTGCTTCCTTTGACTGCGGACCACTGTCATCAACGTTTGAATTGGTGCAGAGAACGGCAGCATTGTGTGGCAGAATGGCGCAATGTAGCATTTAGCGATGAATCACGATGGTGATGAATGCGTGATGGTGGTAGGATGGTAAGTCACAACTGTGGAGATCGACGAGATATCGGTTTTGCTGTTTAGAGGCATGTACACAGGACAGTTGGAGTAATGGTTTCGGGGGCTATTGTCTATTGTAACCGATCACCACTTGAGTTTATTCGAGGTAATATGACAGCTGCGCGTTATATGGATGACATATTATAAACAACTTTACTGCCTTATCTCGTTGGCCGTCGAGACGTCCTTTTTCAGCAAGATAACGTGCACCCATATTGCTCGTCAAACTCTGGACTTTCACCAATGAGCTGGCGTTATTATTTTGCCGTGGCCGCCCCGTACTCCGGATTTATATTCTATCGAACATATATGGGATATGATGGGAAGTAGACTGTCCACTTTGGACCATCCTCCACAGACTTTGGCACAGGTAATACATGAAGTTCAAGTTGCTTGGAACGAGGTGCCACAAGCAGACATCGATCATCTCATTTTGTCAATGCCTAGACGTATACATGAGTGTATTCAGCTACGGGGTCGCCAAACACATTATTAATTTTTTTTATTAGTTGTTGATAAAAGTTCTTGACAACGTTATTGTTTCATTCTTGATGTAAATCGACCATGGTGCCAAAAAAATTAAGTTCAAGAAATTATTGCTTCTGGGTGTAACATTTCTAATGTCACTGGGTATATAATGATTTTTATATCTTATTTCTTGCCGATGATGGGCTTTATTTTGAACTTTTTCAGGAAAAGACAATTTTGAGAACTTTGAGGGAGACTTATTTATAATAAAAGATTATGCATATACACACATTATACTGAGCGAAGCTGAAAAATATTAGGCGCATAAATTTTGCAAAATATTATTGAGCACACTTGTTTATGTTGGTTTTACCGGTCATCTCACTAGCTATGAAGAATCATAGTCTATAGATTCACCATGTTTGTCAGTTAAAGTCAATCTACACCCATAATTTTCCACACTGTTTGTGATAATTTTTTTTAACTAATGAAGAACTTTAAACATTGTTTTGGGTCATATTGCTGATATGCTTTATTATTCTATAACTCCGATGAATTATGATAATCTTTAATAAACTAGTTTTTTTCATCCCAACGGAACACTCCTAGAAACATTAAAAGTGGAAACATTTGCGTCAAAACACTGATGGACGTATATTTACTTTTTTAAGCAATAATATTGTATTTTGGCATCTGTAGGTTTTTTCAACTCGTTGTCGCTCGCGTCCAATCTAAGATACGTGGGGATCGTATGTATATATTTTTCTAACCCTCAATTTATTCGTTTATCAATTATCCTCTCCCATATTTTCGAGGTGTGGTTGAGTAGTTTTATGATCCTGTAATGTATATACCCTTGAACTTTGTTGTAAAATACAAGTACTACGGCGCGGCTTCTTTATTCGTCTGATATTTGTCCTAAACTTACAAAATTCTATTAAACAAACCTGTTAGTATAATTTTTCCTGTTTTCCAACGCTGTCCATTCTTCTCCAATGCTTACCATCTGTTCCAAATTTGGTAGCTTTCTTTACTTTATGTACTGCTTTATTTTACAAACAAATTATATTAGTGCCTTAATATTATCTTTTTTTAATATTTTTTAGCACCGGACATTACTCTAACATTGGTATGGATTTGAAGAGGCATATGGACGAACAAAGTGTGGGAAGTCCCTCTAGTTCTGGAGAAAATTTAGATGGAGAAATTGAAATTAAAAGACCCAGATTTGGTCAAGTCAAGTTCGAGACGGAATAAAATTCCCGATAGTGAAAATCGTCAGCGATCTTATTGTGCTTTAAAAAATTAATTGGAATCCATAGAGATATGGAACAAAACTCACAATTTATCGAAAGTAGATTCGTCATCATTTATGTCAGACATGTTTAATAATAGTATTTTCTCTATTTAGAAAGTATTTCTTTATTAATTATCCCAAAGTAATTCATGTACAGTGTCTGCCAAAACTTAAGAATTTAATAAAAATCAAAGCTAAGTACTTCTAAATTGACAGAAAGTTTTTAATGTCAACGGTAGGATGAATATATTAACTACATTTCCTTATTTCGTATCTTAAAACACTTCTATAGTCATTTTACTATAAGTACCATTATAATATTATAATACGCATCTAATAATCTTAAAAAGATTAATATTTGGACCTAGTCCTACAATAAATAAATGATGCCTCATATTGATTTATAATTTTATACAAAGTACTACTTATAAATTACTAAAGTTGATTTATGATATACGAAATAACGGATAAATAAAAATAAGCTCAACACAGATTCGAACGTTGTTGCCAAGTCTTATTCAAAGTCAACTATTCAACATGGGGTTTCACCGAATCTCTAAAATATACATTCTGTGTAATATTCAACATAAGACAAGTAGGTTAGCTATATAAAATTATTCTATGTACAAAATGTATATTCAATTATTATGAAATAAAAGAAGGTACACACAATACAAATATTAAATATTAAAAAATAAATGCGAATTTTTTAATATACCTCCAAGAGATGAATATGCAGCTGCCTAATATATATATATATATATATATATATTATATATATATATATAATATATATATATATATATATATATATAGCAACACTGCAAGCTTAGTCTACTCCTACTCTTTGCGCACTAAGAAAGCCACTACTGCGATGTGAGTGAATTTAATATTAATAATTGTACTATTAAGTTAAGTATGTTTTATACTATTATTTAAACAAGTAAAATAAAATATTATGTTGCTTTAATTTACCAAATGTTTCTTTCGGTATTTTAATTTCAGTGTTTCCCAAAAAAGTAGTTGATGAATTAAAAAACAATTCTAATAAGAAATAAAGCGGATTTCTGACTTAAAATTATTATTGATTAAAAACATAATTCAGTATATGATTTCTTCATCTAATATTGGTTTATACATTTAACCTGTTTTAACCTAACAAATTACTTAACAGTCATCCAATGACCGTGTTGTTGGCATAATCCTCTGAAAAATATAATTTGGATCTAAGTCGGTGGAACCAGGTGGTCACTGAATCCTTTTTTTGTTTGTTGATATTATCTGATGAGAAATAGTTTCATCAAAAAAGTTGTAACAATGACTTCTTAAAATGTAATGAATGTTCGTAATAATCTAATATTAAAATTACTACCAAGTTTTGGGGGAAGGAATAACATGCAGAAAATTGTATCTAGTTCGATGCTGCCAAATTTGTTTGAATCATATATTACAAATATATACTTACAAATATTCATTCTTCATTTACCAATAAATTATATTGTTTTTATTATTCTGCTTAACACAAGGAAATTTTTTTATCTCTAAATAACAAAATGTTAGAATAAACATTTTAGTCTAATAAAATATGCTTTTACACAACAGGTAATATTTTACACCAGAATAAACTTTGTTATTAACTGAGCGGCAAAACTCAGCGGAATTGATAAGAAATCTTTTACCTTCTGATCTTTGTGCTGTTGCCGATATAAAGTATTCTCTTTGTCTATCCCATTTACATAGCATTCAATACCATGTGACATATTATATGTTCAGTTTTTTTTACTTCTGTGTACTTATATCGTGAGGTCCTATTATAGTTTTCATGGCATTCTATCACTCGACTTCGACCTCCTTCAGCATATTCATTCCTCTTCATGTGCCTCTGTTCCTCTTGATCCTTGGTATCCTGAACACTGTCTTTGTCTCCCAAACTATTACAGATCCTTCATTGAATAAAGCCATAAATCATATATTGCACTATGCATTGAGTTCTCTTGCCCATCGAATAACTCTCACACATCCATCTGAGTTATATAAGTTATACCTCGATTCATCTGATCAACACGTGCTTCCAGTCATCAAAAGTTTAGTCAAGATTATTTCTGGCAAATTTTAATCTACTTCTACGATGATTTATGTTTAAAGTTGGTGCTCTGACCGGCATCCTAACATGCATATCTTGTTAATCTAAACGCCTTTGTATAGTGTTCGTTCTCTTATGCACGAAGCGTGGTCCAATGATCATGGCGTGGTGTTGTGACTCTTCTTTCTTTTCCACATCATCTTGTATGGTCGTTTGTTTCTCGATATCGTTGAACTCGTGATATTGTAGTATGAGATACTCAAGCCTATTTCACGATAACTTAACCCTACATCACCTCAAGTAATTGCCTGCACACATTCATTGCGGCTTAGATTTCTTGACGTACGGTCCAGATCAACGAAAGAACACACGTAAGACGGGAAAACAATATTTTCAGTCTAAAACTGTCCTGTCAAATTGTTTAATTTTTCATAACCAACTAACTGCTTCCATTAATGAGTATTATAATTCAATAAAATTACATTATGTTTTGAATGTACTTTACTTTTTTTATAATCGAAATATCGAGCTGATTTCTTTACGAAAATTTTTGAGAAAATGATGAAGCTACTCGCAGTAGTAATAAGATGTAGTATTTGTTACTAATAAATTCCACACGGTGTTGCAAAATAGTATGAAAAAACACAACTTTATTTTACATCCCATATTTGGATAAAGCATTGACTTCTCAAAAAACAATAATACAGTATTTACTTTGAAATATATCTATAATGTTAAAAAAAATCATCGAAATCCAATCAAGGATTCGGGAGAAAAATAGCTTCAAAATTACGGTACATTTGAAGTGGTGCGTTAATTTTGGAGAGTAGTATATTTTCAGGTACAGACAGGATCCCGCGTTACCCTAGGTTAGCTGATAAAAGTAGCATGTTGTAGACTTTAAAGAGTGGTGATTGTAATAACGAAAAAAATTAATATAAGCTGACATTCAATCTATAATTTTTAGTTTTAATAGTAGGTTCCACAGTTCAGCGGACTGTTAAAACTACTTAGATGTGAGTATTTATTAGATTCATGGTTCGAGGCAAGCTCATCAGAAATTTTGCTAACGAACGCAGCAATACAAAATCCAAAGTGGATCTGTGGCTTTGAATTAGAATTAGCGAGTGAATCGACTTGGCCGGTCAATGGATGACCCGTAGTAATATGGTAAGAAATAGGATCTCACGGCTCAGTGCTAGGAACATTATATTAACAACTATGTTATTTATACAGAAATATAATGGTAAACGTATCTATGTTTGAACATACCAAGATATCATTTAATAATTAATTTAAGATAAACAATTCACTAGTTCCCAATCTGCCACGAGATTTGTCTAATAAAAGTTTTGAAAACCTAACCTAGCCAATTCAATTTTTTGATTTTTTACTGTTGAAATAATATTTACCCCATAGTTGTGTACCGTGTTATTATATATTAGCAAAATATTTAATTAGATATTAGCATCTCTTCACAATCAATAATTAGTTTACATGACTTTAAACAAAACTATATTCATTGCAATAAATCGAGCAATAATTTCACACCAAAATTAATAATAAGTATAGCTTTTAATATAAAATTTAAAAAAAAAACGTAAAAAAGACGTGGTTGTTAAACCTTAATTTCTACAAACATAGAATACAAATGTCAGTCATAGTGTACATAAGTTCGATTTTACTAAATTAATTTTTAAGCTAACGATTTTTTACCCTTATGAACTGTCCCTTTTACGAAAATCTATTTTAGTTTGTATCATTTTCAAGAATAGAAATAAAGCTTATTCCTATTGTTTCTACGATTATTCATGGTAACGTACATACTGGATTTTAAATTACAAACTAATGGCTTTATGATCAAAGTCGTTAAATAAAACAGAATCTATGCTTAGAGCTTAAATTTTTATATGTCCGTTTCGTGGAAAGTAATACGTGATATATCGCAGCAAAATTCTAGAGGCATTGCAAATTTGGGTTTTAGCTGCGTCATGTTTAGTAGTACTATTTGTCAAGAGTCACAGCCATTGATTGCAGGTCCAATCAGACTCTAAATATTGATCCAAAAAGAAAGTTGTTAATCAAATAAGCCTCTATGTATCAAATGGTGGGTAAGATCGATAAATTTTGGAGCGTTGGCAATATTTTGAGAAAACTTATCGAAATGATTAGATAATAGTCTACATAACTCATTTAAATTTTGGAAACCTATCCCATGTGCTTTGATGCTCAGTTTTAAGATAAAGAGTATTCTAATGATAATTGTATATTTATGTCAAATATTATAAATTTTCGCCGTATGATTCATTAAATAATTTAACAGACTTCTGGATTATTGGAAAACTATAAACCAACTAAAAACTTTATTTTTAATAACCGATGATCACTATAAATTACGCAGCGGTGTATCTTAATGCGATTTTTTACACATTGAACTGATTGTTTTAACAATCTCTGCAAAAAATAACCTTTACAATCATAGGTCAAATGCAGTTCATGTCATAATTTTTGATCAAACGGATTGTTCTTATGCAATATTTACTGTTTTATCAGTACTAGTTTAACGGTCGACAGAAAAATGTTTTAGAATTAAATTACGCATTAAAATTTAACGTATAAATATGAGGAGTGATCAACAATTCCAAAACTAATTCTTAAAAACTTCTCAGAAATTATTTCAAAATATTGCAAAAAATCTTCCAACATGGTACCCTCCAAAGTACTCCCCTTAGCGGGTCTCCTAACCTCATTTCCACTTTTGGAACGAGAGGTGGGAATGTGGTTTAGATATTGTGGAATGGTGTTTACCTTGAGCTTCAGGAGCCTTTAATATCCTTTAATATTTTCAAAACATTTGCCCTTTCAATATAGTTGAACTATTAGTTGAACTATTGCCCTATAGTTTGGGAAACTACATCTTATAAGTAGGGAGGCTAAGGGATGACCGACAGCTATTTTTGCATGTCGGAGTTACATTCCCCATTTCTAAACAGTCGAAAAAAAAAAAAAAAACGGTAAGAATAAGAGCGGTCTAGTTCCAGACTAACTTCTGGGAAAATCTCACAAATAGCAGCTAAAATATGGATTCTGTCACTAATCACCATTCGATTAGATTTTATGCAAAGCTCAAACACTACACAAAGCTGGAAAATTATTAATATTTCGAATCTTTCCTATTAAAACGGGTTAATAGGAAAACAATTTATAAACGTATGACGTCTACCAATATACGAAAACATTTTATTACAATTCCAACAAGTGAACCCAACGTAGTATATATATATATATATATATATATATATATATATATATATATATATATATATGTATATATATATACCTCGGAAATTGTTCTTTCCAAAATTTTGAAACGTCAAATATAATAGTTGTACAATATAGTCAAAAAAATATGTAGTTTAAAACAATTAGCCTATTTCGTTTACATGAATTCTTTATCTTGTATACGAGAAAAAATGTCTACATAGACATTATTGTTGACCAGTATGAATACTATTATGAATTTTATTGGCGAAGATTTCCAAATAATTTAGTATGGCAGACACTGTAAACAAATTAAAATCTTTTTTCGACTAGGCGTTTGTAATA